TATATATATAAGGTTTTTATAATAACAAGCAAAGTTTTATATATCTTAATAATACATTGTAACTCTTTAATGGAAAATTTTATTAAGTAAACCATTATTGTGAAAATCTAATTTTAATATAACACAGTACAAATAATATTTAAAGAACTATATTTAAATCTAAATTTTATCTTTTCTTTTATTTATTTTTTGTTTTTGCTGATAAATACATTATTAATACTAGCAAGAAAAAGACACTCCGTGCCTGCATTATATTAAAAAAGAAATAAAAAATGAGAAGTACCTCATAAAAAAGTAGTTATTAAAAAATAAATAAAGAATAAAATAATTCATGTAAAAGTAAAAACTAAAAATATTTATTGTAAAAATGACTTATTAGTTTCAAATTCTTAAATTTGATTAAAAAATAATTTTTCTAATTTTTTAAAATAAAAAAGTATAATGATTTAAAAAAAAGTGAAGACCAATATAGTTACTAAAAAGGATATCCCTTTTATATATTAATATAGATAAAATATTTATTAATTTGTTAATAATTAATTTTTGTTAAAAAATTTGTCTAATTATCTGTAATGTAGTTCTATTTTAATTATATCTATTTTCATTTACGATACTCGAATTCAAAATTACAAAAATTTAGTTTGACTTGAACAACGGATTCGTCAGTTTTTCTTTATTCTTTCGGCAGCAGCCATCACGGAAGTTAAAAATATTTTTTTATTCCTTCCATATACTTGGATTTGTTCAACTCTGAATCTAATAATCTTTAAGCGTGTGATACCAAATGACCAATTATGCATTTATGCTTAAATTTTTCTTAATGATACGTTTGGATTTTGAAAATCTTAAAATTTGAATTATTTTTTTTATTTTTATTTTTTACTATTATTTAAATATTTTATTCAGATAAATTAATTCAACTTTTAAAATTTTAATTTAAATATGATAATTTTATTTTCATTATGAGTAAAATTAATTATGTATATTGAGATTTTAAAATTAAATTTTATAAAAATAAATATTAGTTAATTTTTAAATAGTTAATAGTTTTAAAATTAATAATATATTATATTTAATAACTTAAAAATTATTGATATTTTTTGTGGTGACTTTGAAAAAGAGGTGAGGGAGGTAGGAGAAAAAAAAGGAGAAAAGACAAAATAGAAAAACGAAAAAAATGAAGAGAAAAGAAAAATAAGAGAGGAAAAAGAAAAGAGATAAAAATTAGAGAGACAAAAAAGAAAAAAAATAAGGAGAGAAAAAGGAGAGAAGAGAGGGAGAGTTAAAAAACTTTTTATTATTTTAAAGAATTTCACAAATATTTAACTTTTAAATTTTTTATTTATAGATTCTTCATTTAAATAATACGTTTTATTCAAGATATTTGATTTTTTTAAATAAATTATTTTATTTAAATTTCTCATCCTAGTCCATTATAAATAAATTTTTAGATTCTCCATGCGACAACTATTGTATATTATGAATGTTTTATGCTTAAATAATGTGCGATATATATTCATAATTAAACAAAAGGAAGCACGCAACTGAAACAAGGGGAAAAAAAATCCAAAAGGGAAAATGAAAATATTCCTTTATTTTAATCTATATTAAAAAAGTATGTTTTAAATATTTTTAAATTAAAAGAGTATATTTTAATTATTTTTCTTCAAAGAATTTTTTAAATATTTTTAATCTCATATATTTTAATCTAACATTTTTATTTTGTTTTATTTTTATATTAAATTTCATTATTTTTATAAGCAATTATCAATAATTGAAAGTAATATTATATGACAATAAAAAATTATTTATCATAAATCTAAAATATAATTTATCTGATATATATA